TCTTCTGTGGGGAGAGCCCAGGCTCCAGCACAGCTGCCCAGAAGGCAGTGCCCAGCCCTCCTGTAATCTCAGCCGCCCTCCCCTGTGCACACGCACAGACCGCAGCTGGGCTGGCTCCAGACTGGCAGTGGAGCATCTCGCCTGGTTTCGGCCTCCTTGTGTCATTCCACGACTCTCTTTTGAGGCTGCCAGAGTGCCCTTCGGAGCACTGGCCAGTGCTGGGCTGAGCCCGCCGTGCGCTGGAGGAGGCCCCTCTGCCCCGACTCTGTCTGTTTGGCCAGGCTGGCCCTGGGGATCCAGCTGACAGGTCTCGATGGTGCCTTTGCTCTGTTCCCGGGCTTGCCAGGAGTGTTGTGCCTTCCCACGGCCCTTGGTAGCGCCCCCTGGACATTTAGAATTCAGGGCTCCCTTCCTCCCTGGCAGCACCTGTCCTTGCCAGTTCCCCAGGTACACGAGGCATTAACGAGGCTCTCCTCCATTCTCCTGGCAGTTGCCTGTTCTAAGTCTGCTCCTTTGAGTGCTCCCGAGGTCCTTGAGGTCAGGGTTCTTGTTTCTTTCATCCTTGTGTCCTGGGCAGACCTGGCACACGGAGGAGACTGGGGCTTTGAGGGAAGAAGGGCCCTCATCCTGGCCTGGGTGGGGAGGGCTCAGAAGGGGTGGTCCCCCTTGCTCCTGCCCCTCCTGTGCATTTCTGGTGGTTGAGCTGAACTGCATAGTTTTCCTCTGGTTGTGTCCCCCTGATACGGACTAAAGAGAGAAGATACACATTCTTTCTCTCTGTTAGACCCGCTAGAGGTTTATCCGTGTTGGGATATGTCCTGACCTGGTATTTTACTGATGTGTCTGCTCCTTGGTGAAAGGGGCTCTCACAGCTGTGCGCACCTGCCTCCCGGTGGCAGAGGGGGCGGGCAGGTCAGGGGGCTCAGTCCTGCCTGAATGCAGGACTGCCTCTGGCAGCCCGGCCGGCTCCCAGAAACAGAGGAGGGGTGGGAGAAGGGGGCGCTGCACCGCCTCCTGCTGCCCTCCCCACCCAGGCAAAGAGGACGTGCGCAGTGGTCTCAGCTGCGCCTCCTCCCTGGGGGAGCGGAGACTTCCCCAAGAGGTCCATCTGTGGGGCAGGTCAGTCGCTCTGCAAGTGGCCAAGTGGTCACTGAAATGGACAGTCTAGAGCCCTGCATCTAAAACCTCACAAAGAAAACTTCAGGCCAAGATGGCTTCACCGGAGGGTCATCACAAGTTCAAGGAAGAAGCAGCGCCAGGCCTACACACCCCGGTTTTATTTGTAAAAGTTTCGTTCCTGGCTAACTCGGATGAGGTGGCTATATCTGGGCCTGAGAGCCCCTAAAAGTCCTGCCTCAGGGGCCCCTTCCTCCTGCAGGCTGTGCGGGAGGGGAGGGTTGGGGCAAGGCCTCGGTGTGGAACCCTGGGCTGAGGTCAGAAAAGTGGGGCACACCCCAGAACAGGCAACAGGGCTGTGTGGGGGCCCCCAGTGCAGGCCATGGCTTTCCTGTCTCCCAGCCACCAGTGTTCCCAGGAGTCGGGCTCATCTGGAGTTGGTGGAGAGCGTTCCAGTTACACTGGCAGAGGGCTGAAGGTTGTCTAGTCCAGGCCTGGGATGGGCCCGGAGAGGTGCCAGGAGGAGCCCCATGCAGCGAGAGGCTTGAGGAAGGGGTAGTGAGGCCTGGATATGAATAGAAATGACCATGGGCTTGTGCCCTGGGCCCAGGGAACCTCAGAAGGGGCCTTGAGGAGGGGCCTTTGGGCTGACCACTAGAACTGACTGCAGGGTGGGTTTTCTTCGTTGTTGTCAGAATGGACTTTCAGGATTTGAGACACCAGGGCGGCGTAAATGGCCCTCGGGGCAAGTGGTGAGGCCTTGCGGCTCCCCTGGGAAGCCGGCGTGAGCTGTGGACAGAGCGTGTGATGTTACCTGCATCTTGGAAGGGGACACCAGTGATGGGTGGTTAAGGTGGAGAGAGACTTGGAGGACACGGATTAGAGAAAGGAGGGAAGTGCCACAGGCAGCTCTGTTCTCCATGGTGGCTGGGTGGCCAGCAGGCTGGCCAGGGTGGGGGTGATGGCGGTGGGCTCAGTGGCAGTGGGACCTGTGGAGGTGATGGGGGGGCACATAATGAAGAACAGGACTAGGAAGGAAGGAGAGGGGTAGGAAGGTTTGGGAGGGGTGTGTATAGGGGAGTTAGGCAGCTAGTCACATTTAAGGGTCTCAGGGTGGGTGGGGTGTGTCTAGATCCCCCGGGACTCTGTGGTCCTCAGGCCCGGCCAGTGTCCTCCCTGTAGGTGTCCGCCAGGGCTGAGTGCACACTGCGGCTCTGACTGTGGGGCGAACAGGAGAAGCAGCCAGGGTCGGGGCTGCACTTAGAAACCAGTGCCGCTCCAGATACACTCTCCCTCATCTCTGGGTGAGAGTGCGGGGCACGGGGAGGACCTTTGTCCAGCCCAAAGCCACCACCGACAGGTTCTGTGACCTCGGGGCAAATCCTTTCTCTTTGCTCATGGCAATGTGCCAGGTCCCCTGTGGGATCGAGGGGCCTGAAGGTGGTGGTGCTGCTGCAGTCCCTTCAGTGCTGAGCCTCTGAGTCTCCAAGGCTGGCCTGCCCCTCCTGCTCGGTGACCTCTCCTCCTCGTGGGCACTCCCACGCTGTCCTGTTGTAGTCACTCTTCAGCAGGAAGTGCAGAGTCTCCATGCCCCGAGTTCATGTGTCTCTGCTCACTGGCCCCTGCCCCCAACGCACGCTTTTGTCAGTCTCGGGCCCCTGCTCAGTGCACAGCACCCAGGCTGGGGTCACCCCCGACCTCCCCCTGTCACAGAGCTCAGGCTGCACCGCACCCACCGGATGCCGGCTTTTTTTTTTAATGTTCCTGAGAGCGTTGGGTGTTTTCTCGTTTTATTAATGAATAACTTGGCCTTTGCCGAGGCACTTGAGTGTCTCTGGGTTTCAGGTGTTGGCAGCTGTGGCCGTGGAGTTGGCCCTTGCTCCAGGGCTGGGAAGGGGCATGGCGTTCACACACTCTCTGTCCTAAAGGCTGTTTCTGCAGGCCCTACCCTCTTCTGCCCGCTGGGCGAGGTCAGCCCCAGGCTGAGAAGCCCTCCTGCTGCCCGCTTTGCGGGAAAGCCGAGCCTTTTTTTCTCTTTCACCTCTGTCCTTACCAGGGGGAGGCGTCTATCCCCCCTTCCTGGGTGGCAGGCGCCTCTGGCCACCATGGAGTCTGCTGGCTGGCAGTTGGCAAGGAGCTTTTATTTGAATGTGCCGGTTTCAGGCCTGCATGCTCAGCTGCCAGCATTTGGTCGGGGAGGGGCGCCCAGGTTGGGGGCTCTGTGGGGAGGGCCCTGACTTATTTCTCAGTCATGAGTCCCTGCTGTGCTCGTTCTTCCCTCTTTGGCCGTCACCACATCAGTGCCTCTCCACCCTGGGCCTCCCTGCCCAGTGGGGTCTGCAGGCTCCTAGGAAAGGCCTCTGGTCCTCCCTCCATCAAACACCCCAGCCTCTCCCCTGGTTCCCTACAGCCCTACTGGCACCTTCGCCGTGACCGCGACTCCAGTCAGCCACGTGTTCTTCACCCCACTCCCCACCTTTGCTCACGCCGTGCTCCCTTCTGGGAATGACCTTCTTATTCTTGTCTCCCCCCCCACCCCTCCCTCAGTAGGAATTCCCCACCCACCCCACCAAGCCAGGTTGGCCTCTTTCAGGCAGCTGCTGTCACTTGTTCCAGCTGCCTCGTCCCATGAGACCAAGCTGCCAGGGCCTGAGAGAGTCGGGGTGGGGGGCATCTTGATCTGTTCATATCACAAAAAGCCGTTCCCTGGGCCAGGCCTCCAGTCTAGGTTCCCTGGTCTCCCCCATGTTGTGTGGCCATGGAGCGTGGTTCATCTCGGGGTCTCTGCTGTGCACTGGCAGGAAGCAACTCCAAGCCAGTGCTACCCTTGGGGGCAGCTGTCAGTGGCAGCACAGACTCGTAGGACAGGCAGGGTCCGCAGCTGCTCCAGTTCTGATTTATGTGGCAGTGCCAGCTCGTCTTACCTTCCTCACAGCCTGCCCCTCAGAATGCCGCTCCGCGGGAGTCCAAGGCAGACAGCAGGACGAGGTGCCCACAACTCCCCCTGGAGGGCCACCCCGACCTGCAGGCTGGCCCCGGGCAGAGCCCGGTCCTGGAGCCTCTCACAGGCCATGCGGCACATGTACGTGTGCCCGCGGGTGCACTTGTCTGCAGGGTGAGGCTGCTCCCACCGAAGTGGGTGAGGGGGAGACCGGGAGGGCTTTCCTGCCTCGGCTGGAGGCAGCATGGTTGTGGCCTTCTTGGTGGCCCTCAGTGCACCTGGAGAACAAGCATGCTGTGTCAAGGTTGGGATGGACCTGCTTCTCTGGACTTGCAGAGAGGTCAGGGGCAGGAGGAAGACCAGATTTATAAGGAAATTTTTCCCATAGAAACTTCAGGCTAGGTCCCCTTCCCCCCATTTTCCCCAAACATGTTGCAGGTGAGTCTTGCTCTAAGCCTCGGCCGAGTCTGAGTTGCTGCTGCTAAAGGGACACAGAGGCGCCTCTGGAACGGGGGTCAGGGGCTGTCCTCCCTGGACGGTGGTGACCGCTCCTCCCTGGTCTCTCCTGGCTCAGTGGTGTGTCGTGGCCAGTCTGAGCCCTCTGGGGCACAGAACAGCTTCGTTCTCACCACCTAAAACCTTTTAGCTCCTCCTGCTGGCATACTCTGAGGGCCACTGGTGTCCCCTTCAAAGATGCAGGGGGCTGGGGTCATGGGCCTTTGACCTCTGTTGGGGGTGGGGGGCAGTGAGGAGTGCGGCTTCAGTGATGACGTCAGTTAACCCCAGCAGGCAGGTGCCCGCTGGAGAGATGCAGGGACTCCAGGCTGGTCCTTGCCTGGGCGTCTGCCTCCTGAGACGCGCTGTTCTTCATGAGCTGCCAGGGAGCGTGGACTGGAAAGAGGGACGTTCCTCTGAGCGGGCGGTTCTCTTCCTTCCCTTGCAGGACAAGGAAGATGGGGAGCCCAAGACCAAGCAGATCAGAGAAGAGGAGGAGGAGGAGGAGGAGGGTGAGAAGCACAGGTAATGCCCACATGCAGCCCCCACCCTGCACTCTCCTGCAGCCGCCATTGGCTCCCACGTCCTCCCGCCTCTGCGTTCAGCGTCCCCGTTCCGTCCTCTCTACCCCTGGCTGCCCTGTTCAGACCTGAAAATACCATCCTTCTCGCCAGCTGGAGCCTTCTCTGCACCCTTTCCCTGTTAGCCGTCGGACTCTTAAGGCACCAGCCTCTTCTTTTCACCCCTCATCATGTCTCCTCTCTCCTCACAGCCCTCAGTGGTTTGGCTCCACAGCACCTGCAGAGTCGGGGTCACCAGCCGGGCCCGGCTTCTGTTGGTTTCTCGTAACCACTGGCTGGCCATGCAGCCTGTCCTGACAGCGTCACTCTGCGCTGTCTCGGCCTGGCATTCCTTCTGTCCCCCGGAACGTGTTGGCCTCCCTGGAGTGCTCAGCTCAGGCCTCCGCTTCTCTCTCTTATCCGTTTTCCCGTTCCTGCAGTGGTTCCTGTAGAGTATTCATCTTATTTTACCAAATCCTGTCATCTGGTTGAGTCAAATTCGGTTGCCTAAACAGCGCTGCACCCCCCCACCCCCACCCCCGCTGCAGGTGCAGGCCCTTGAGGGCTGGAACCTCACCGATGGTCAGAGGCTGCTGTGTGTCAGAAATGCCTGGGACGAGTTTCAGAAGTCGTGCATGGGGCGGGAGGGGCACTCTGTGGTTGGTCCTCGTGCTCTGGGAAGAACCTTCGTGTCTGTTGGCACCACCGTGCCCAGCTGAGAGCCAGGGCCACGAGGTGGCTGTGGCGCTCTGCTTGGGGCAGGACTCCGTGTCTGCCCGGACAGGTGGCCCAGCGTCCTTTGCCCTGAGCCGTTTCCTTCGTGCACAGGGTTTGTGCAGCACCTGCTGACTTGCGGGGCAGGGGTGGGGCTGAGATCTTGACCCTGAGAAAGCTGACCTCCAGGCTGACTGCTGAGGGGGCGCCGCAGCAGGGGAGGGCTGCTCCCTGGAGGGAGCTGGACCGCACCAGGCACAGGCCCTTCTCTCTGCCCTGTTCAGGGCCCCTCTCAGAGGGATGGGACCTTCTTGGCTTCACAGCAGCACGGGTGCTTGCATGTGACACCGTCCTCATGGCCCCGCGGGCCCTTGCCACCTCGCTTGTGCTCAGACACGGTGACAGGTTACAGCTCTTCCTGCAGAGGCCCGAGGTGCTCCCTGGCAGCCGGGCCCCGCCCCCCAGCGCTGCGGTCTTTGCTTTCACGCTGGCCTTAGTGCCCCAGCAGCACAGGGGGCCTCTTGGGTGGCAGAAACAAAGGCCTGGTGGTTGCTCCTGTGCCAGGGGACCCCAGCCTTGTGTGATTTGGGGGTGAGTGCCCATAGTGTCCCCCATTCTGTGGTGACCGCAGTGAGAACCTTTGGTTTTCTTGCAGTTTGTTCTTAAATTCTCAGCCGTTGGCTGGAGTCTGACTCCTGGCGTCCGGGCTGCCTGCGCTTTGCTGGGAGGCCTTCTCTGAGCCCCCGTCTCCTTGGTGAGAAAGAGCAGGGTCACTGGTTCCCAGGCGGGTAGGTGGGTGACACAGTGGGAGACTGGAGTGTTGAACCGTGTGACTGAATCTCAAACATGCTGTTGCCAGAGGCCGAGGCAGGCCTCAGAGTTCAGACGTGTGGGGCAGGAATTCTAGAGGGCAGGGTCCGGGCTGCGAAGGCCCAGAAGCTGTGGTGGGAAAGGGTGCATGATGGGACCCATTGTCCAGGAGGTGGGGACAGACGTCCCCCACCACCACTCATGAACCCCTGCCCGGCTCTACACAGGTCACTGGAGCAGGGAGGAGGGTTTCATGGGGGCCTTGCAGGCACTGTGCAGACACGTGGCACGGCCAGTTCTTTTGACCGGTGGTAGTCAGTTCATCGTGTGCTTGCCAGGACTTAGGGACGTGAGCACTGAGGCCCTGCTCGTTCAGCAGCGGACACTGGAATGGTGGGACTGGGCAGACGGAATGAGCTCAGGACTTAGAAGCAGCTCCAGGTGGAGGCCAGGCCCTGCCAGTCACCAGCTTTCTGACCTTGGGCAAGCCGTGTTGCCTCCTCACCGGAGTGTCTTCAGCTGAGAGACGGGGAGAGAAGCAAACCTGCTTCCCTGGGGAATGGAGCAAATGCCATCGCTGTGTGCCCAGCTAGTGCTGGGCTTTGGGCTGAAAGAAGACACTTTGGGGTGTTCCTGGAGAGCTGCGGGGACTGCGGACACACCTGAAAGGGCAGGATTAACATTTACAGAAGGCCCACGCTGACTTTGCAAATGGGCGTAGCTGGGCGGACAGCAGGGTGGGTGGGCGAGAGTAGACATGCGCCTGGGTGACCAGGGAACTAGGGGGCGGGACCCTCTGTAGAGCTTCCCTTGTATGATGCAGAGGGATTCTCTAGATTAAAAAATTTTTTTTTAAGTTTTTATGCACTGTTAGGATAAATCTTACCCCATCCTCATACAACCAAAGCTCCATTGGGTGGGAGTTCGGCCCCTGCAGGTCCGCTAGCCCAGGCAGAGAGCTCTGTGGAAAGGAAGGATAGGTTCCCACCCCAGAGGGGCCCCTGCTTCTCCTCTAGACCGGATCTGCCTGCCCCCTTGTGGCTCATTCTGCAGGGGCACCCACGACTCAGCTCTAACACAGGCTCCTCTGTCCCCTTTAAATAAAGTGTGATCTGGGGCCCTGGAAAGCCAGCCCAGGCAAGAGGCATTGGTGTCAGCTGCTTTTGTTTTTGAAGCTCTCCATCACTTCCTCCTTACTCAGGGCAGGCAGGTCTGGGTGGCCCGGAGGTGTGTCTGGGTAGGTTTGTGGTCGCCTGTCACGGCCACCCTGCCAGGTGGGAGGAGAAGGCTGCCACACACTCCATCGGGCACAGGGCAGGGGAGCGTGTCTTGTTAAGTTCCTGAACAAGCGAGCCCCAAACCCTCAGCCGCCGCGACAGCCGCCGCTCTCTGGCTTTGGATCAGCGTCTGCCCCCGGCTGGAGCAGTCACCATTCAGGAACACCAATGCACCTGGGGTGGGTGTCATGTCCTGCAGAAGAAAGTGGGCCGCTAGCCTGCCTACTTCGGGGTAGAAAACCAGTTCTCCGACTGAGTGTGGAGTGAGGTCCCGGCCCAGCCCTGGCCTGGCGCCCCAGTCCTTTAGGCTGGTGAATGCCAGGCGTCCTCCCCACTGCCGGGCGGGTCCCCAGAATGGTGTCGGAGGCAGGGTGTGCTCGCACACCCGTGACATCAGCGCGATTAGGAAAAGGTGCCCCACTCTGGGAGGCTCCCACCCCTCCCTGCTGAGGTGACTGCCTCCAGCCCCAGGGTGTCCGAGGGTGGCTCCAGGATTTGTGCTGATGCAGCAGTGTGGACACCTGCTGTCACCCTGTTTTTCCTGATCCTGTTGCTCAGGAATGGGCCTCAGGCTGTGGGTGAATGAATGGAGGGCGCTGGCTCCAGGGAGGTGCGTCATGGAAAGCAGTGGGAAGCAGACCCACTGTGTGACCAGGCCGGGCCCTTCCCTGTGTGGGGAGGTGGCGGATTGGCGGGGCCCCATTCTGCCTGGAAACTGACCTTCGGCTCACGTGCCATGACCTTCAGTGCTGCCAGAGCCCTTCTTTTTTTTTTTCTTAATTTAAATTTTTTTATTGATTATGCTGTTACAGTTGTTCTATTCCCCCCCTTCATTCCCCTCCACCCTACCCCCCCATCCCCACCATTACCCCCCCTTTAGTTTATGACCATGTGTCCCAAGTTCTTTAGATTCTATATTTCCCATACTATTCTTGCCCCCCCATCTATTTCCTATCTACTGTCTATACTTCTTATTTTCTGTACCTTCTCCCCCCTTCTCCTTCCACTCCCCTGTTGCTAACCCTCCTTGAGATCTTCATTTCTATGTTTCCACTCCTGATCTAGCTGTCCTTTTAGTTTGCTTTCGTTTTAGGTGTGGTTGTTAATAACTGTGAGTTTGCTGTCCTTTCACTGTTCATGTTTATTTAACTTCTTTTTCTTAGATAAGTCCCTTTAACATTTCATATAATAAGGGCTTGGTGATGATGAACTCCTTGAACTTGACCTTATCTGAGAAGCACTTTATCTGTCCTTCCATTCTAAATGAAAGTTTTGCTGGATAGAGCAATCTTGGTTGTAGGTCTTTGGATTTCATGACTTGGAATACCTCTTTCCAGCCCCTTCTTGCCTGTAAGGTCTCTTTTGAGAAATCTGCTGACAGTCTGATGGGGACTCCTTTGTAGGTGACTGTCTCCTTAGCTCTTGCTGCTTCTAGGATTCTCTCCTTCATTTTAATTTTGGCTAATGTAATGATGATGTGCCTTGGTGTGTTCCTTCTTGGGTCCAACTTCTTTGGGACTCTCTGCGCTTCCTGGATTTCCTGGAAGTCTATTTCCTTTGCCAGAATGGGGGAATTCTCCTTTATTATTTGTTCAAATAAGTTTTCCACTGGTGGCTGTGCCTTTCCCCCTTCTGGTACCCCTATAATTCGGATGTTGGAGCGTTTAAAGATGTCCTAGAGGTTCCTAAGACTTTCCTCATTTCTTTGAATTCTTGCTTCTTGACTCTTTTCTGTTTGGCCATTATTTGCTTTCTTCTGGTCCACTCCATTGATTTGAGTCCCAGTTTCCTTTTCATTGCTATTGGTGTCCTGTGCAATTCCATTCATTTCAATTAGTTTTGCCTTCATATATTTGTCTAATTTGTGGCTATAATCAACCAGTTCTGTGAGGATCCTGATCACCAGTGTTTTAAACTGTGCATCTGAGAGTTTTGCTATTTCTTCATCACTTAGATCTATAGGCTCTGGGGCTTTGAGATCTTCTTGCACCATTTTTGGTCTGTTCGCACCCTTTAAGTGTGAGGAGGGGCGCCTTGGACTCCCAGGTCGCTGGGTTGTGACACTGTATGTGGGGGCCCCCCTCTGCTGTTTCTTGCCTCTGGGTGAGGATTAGCGCCTTAGGTGGTTCACCAGGGCAGGGCCACTCAGGTCACTGAGTTATGA